GGCCTGATGCACTGCCTTTGGTCGGCAACGAACCTTCTTGTGCAGCCCAAGCGTTTCGTAGCACCGTCGAAGACACCCATCCTGTCTGCGACCACAGGAACGAATCCTTGTGACAGACGTATGGGAGTCCGGTGTTTTCATTGCTACTTAGCACTCGACTCGCTACCTGCCTTTGCAACCATTCATGCATTCGTGTATTCGCCCATCGTTCGTGAACGAGGGTCGAAATTGCACGTGCAGCACTTGTAGCTGTCACGTAAATTTTGTTCCTCACACAAATGGAAGACTGAGCAGGGCGAGTTATCTCATTCTCCAATCTGTTCTCTGTTATGACAGAGAGGAAGTCAGAGATGAGTGATCGCTTGTTGCTGCTTTTTAAGCTTTCGCATAGATGGTAGGGTACCTGGAAGTCTGGGTGGGATGCGAGATAGCACCATGTATACACAATGGTGTGTTCCATCTCTTCCTCGGCAGACTTTAGTCCCAGTCCCCCCTGTTCTTTATTGACATACAACCTTGCCACGCAGCTGTGTCCGAATCGCATGTGCGTTTCTGCCAGCAACTTGCGTATGGCTTCATCAAACTCTCTAGCCTGCTTTCTCATTGTGCAAAATCTTCCGTTTCCGTAGATAATGCACGAGATCGCATACTTCAGCTTTGGGATTACGATCAGGTTATACCCATTGACCTTTTGGCGAACCGCAAGATCACTGAGCATAATCCTTCTCGCCGTAGCCATAGCGTTCGTTCTAACTCGTGACCACAGTTGATCCCAGCTAATTAGAGAAGTTTGTTCTGCTCCCAAATATTTGTAGAGCGAGTTTGACCCTAGTACGGGTATGTCATCCATACTAGGTGTCATTTCATTTGGGCGGGGCTGGTTCAGCGAATTCACAGCGCACTTGCTGGGATTCAACCGAAGTCCAAGCTCACCTGCCACTCTTTGTATGCCTTCTTTGGCTTTTACTATATCATCCCAACTGGGTGAGTAAACCTTCAGATCATCCATATAGAAAATATGGTTGATGGTAAGAGGTTCGCATGCTAGTGTTAGGGCTCCTGTAGATGTTCGGTACGGGCTAACGTTATTGCGCAGCCACGTCGATATAGGAGCAATCGCCATGCAAAAGAGAAGTGGACTTAAGGTATCACCTTGCATCACACCCCTCTTAACCTCTAAAGGTTCACTTTTGACCAGCTTTCCGTTCTGATATCCACAATACCGGACACTTTGTTTCGTTAAGATCACTGATAGTAGCCTTCTCGTAAGAGATGGCACTCCAGCTCTCTTCAGAATCCATTTGATAGCGCCGTGGGATACAGAATCGAAGGCTTTCGTCATATCCACCCACAAGGTATGTAGTGTGTTTTTGCGCCTTAAGGCGTCTTTACAGATTGTCTGATCCAGTATGTGCGCGTGAGTGCAACCCCAGACTCCCTTGCGCAGGGCGACTTGCTCCCGAGGGAGCGCATCTCCTGCACTTTGTAGGATCTGTTGTGCAATCATGGCTGTCAGCACTTTATAGCATGTGTTCAAACATGCTATAGGTCGGAAATCTCCTGGGCCACGGGCCTCAGAGTTTCCTTTTGGAATCAGAACAATCTTTCCTCTACATACCCAATTTGGGATTATTCTATGTGGCTTGCGTAATGCTTCAAGGCACCACGCTTTTAGCCTTTCTTTGGCTTCTGGCAGCTTTTTCCACCAGAACCCTTGTATTCCGTCAGGACCTGTAGCTTTCCAGGGCTTGATCTTCGAGAAGATCTTCGCCCATGATTCGTCGCTCAGGTCTCCAACATCCCTGCTATCCGTTTGTTGTTCGCGAGCCCACTCGTTCAAGTCATCTGAAGGATGGAAGGGTTGCGTTTCGCCGATGATGGCTTTCCAGTGCTCACGCACTTCTGCAACCGGAACGTCAGATTCCTTTTCCCGAGGTTCTCTTGCGACAGCCGGGTATCCCCGTTGCCGCTCTCGTAAACGTCGCAGGGCTTGCTGTTTGGTCTCTACATCAGAAGTTACGATCTTCAACTCATCCTTGAATCTAATCAGGAGTCGTTGGACCTCTGCGGTCGTCGTAACTCTGTGTAGTCTTGCAATTTCGAGGTACTGCTTAGTTGGAGCACCTCTATTGCCTGTAGACCTTCTTTTGAGTTCATGCGAGACTATAGAGATGGTTCGTATCAAAGAATCTCTCAATGCCTTCGCTTCCCTCAGTTTTTGGTATTTTTTACCCGCTTTTTCGGCAGCATCATCCAGCAATACACTGGTGATTGCTTTGCCTATAGCATACACCGCAGCGTTCAATGCTGTGAGAGTACGCTTGTTGGTGGAGTTTCTGCGCCCCAGTTTTTCCCTAAGGATTTGATTACCGAGTTGCAGAATGCCATCAGGAATTTCTTCCCTAGGCCTCCTTATTGGCTGTCTGTCTTTTGAATCAATTGCTATTTTATGGTAGCGATTGAAACGTTCCCTTAGTCTTTGTTCGAGAGTCTCCGACGAATCACCCGTTTCCGAGTTATCGCTAAGACTAGTATGTTCTTGATCGACCAAGGTGACAGATTCGCCAACACTTGATTCAGCGGGTTGCTCCTCATCTTCGTGCACATTGTTAGATGCTTCCGAGCGAGGAGCTTCATTTCGATCTGTGAGTCTAGCGATTTTTGCGTACGCGGCCTTGAGAGCACTGAGAGTTCTTCTAGGATCGTTTTCCACTCGTGAGCAGTCCCAGGTATTTCTGAGATCCGCCCATCGGATACGACCGTCCGGTTCTCGGTGTCTTTCGACCATAAACGCTAGTTTTGCTAGCTCATTTGTTGTCCAAATAACATCTTTAGTACGCTGCACCCTACGGTTTTGGGAGTCATCCCCGTTTTCCCTTACAGGTGAGCGTCGGCTCTGCAGAGGTTGATGACGGGGAATCGGTGAAACCGCTTCCCCTTCCTGTTGAATCTCGGGAGCTGCAGTCGTGTTTTGCGTGAGCGAAACATCATCTGAGCTCAGATGACCTAATTCAACAGCATCTCTGCGACGCCTAGATGTTATTCTGGTTCGTCTGCGGGAACGAGTTCGACTTTCCATTGTTACTGGATCGTCGTTCAACTGAGGTTCGCGAGTCCCAGCAAGAGACAACTCTTGCGAGTTGCCCTCAGGACTCTGATTTTCTATTTCAATCGTTCCCTCAGACGATTCTACATTATACTGTAAGCTTGCTACTTCTCCGAAGACCTGGTGACCGGGGTTTTCTCCCCCTTCGTCAGGCTGGCTCTCGAAAACCGCATTTCGGCTGCCTTGTTGGGGGCAACTATTACGGTTCGATATTCTAAGCTCAGCCAAGTCCTCAGAGGCTGCTACGCTTTCAGCCCGCTTGGCGAGCTTCGCATATGCAGCCTGTAGAGCCTTAACAGTTCTTTTGGGGTCTTGTGTGCTTCGCGAGCTTTCCCAGGCAAAGCCTAGTTCAGCCCACTGCACACCCCCGTTGGCTGTCCTGTGTCTTTCGACCAGGTTCGCCAGTCTACCCAGTTCACCTTCGGTCCATAGGTTTCGCTTTCTCTGAGGAAGCGTTTCATGAGACTGAGATTCGAGAGTCTCGGTAGCTCCGCCTCCTTGGGGGCGGTCTCCTCGACTAGGCGTTGTTCTCAAGTCTGATGGACTTCTAGCTAGCTGGGCCGGTGGGCTCCTATCGTCGCTGA